ACTTCCTCGTCTAAATACCTTCCCCGATACACGTCAGTCTTATTGAAATAAGGTGTTGACATGGTGATGCCTCTCAGTTAAGTGCTAATACGTAGTCTCATTACCATTTCATTTACATTCATCTATCTGTGTCTGTTTTTCAGTTTGACAGTTTGTCTTTTTGTTTGTCTCTCTGTTTATCAGAGAGAGAGAGAGAGAGAGAGAGAGAGAGAGAGAGAGAGAGAGAGAGAGAGAGAGAGAGAGAGAGAGAGAGAGAGAGAGAGAGAGAGAGAGAGAGAGAGAGAGAGGAGGGCGTGAAGGAGAGGGAGATAGAGAGATGGAAAGAAGGAGAGAGAGATTGGGGGAGAGGGATGAGAGAGAGAGAGAGAGAGAGAGAGAGAGAGAGAGAGAGAGAGAGAGAGAGAGAGAGAGAGAGAGAGAGAGAGAGAGAGAGGGAGGGAGGGAGAGAGAGAGTGAGAGGAGGGGGTGAAGGAGAGGGAGATAGAGAGATGGAAAGTAGGAGAGAGAGATTGGGGGAGAGGGGATATGAGAGAGAGAGAGAGAGAGAGAGAGAGAGAGAGAGGAGAGAGAGAGAGAGAGAGAGAGAGAGAGAGAGAGAGAGAGAGAGAGAGAGAGAGAGAGAGAGAGAGAGAGAGAGAGAGAAAGAAGGAGAGAGAAAGAGAGAGAGAGAAAGAGAGAGAGAGAGAGAGAGAGAGAGAGAGAGAGAGAGAGAGAGAGAGAGAGAGAGAGAGAGAGAGAGAGAGAGAGAGAGAGAGAGGAGGGAGTGAAGGAGAGGGAGATAGAGAGATGGAAAGAAGGAGAAAGAGATTGGGGGAGAGGGGATGAGAGAGAGAGAGAGAGAGAGAGAGAGAGAGAGAGAGAGAGAGAGAGAGAGAGAGAGAGAGAGAGAGAGAGAGAGAGCGAGAGAGAGAGAGAGGGAGAGAGAGAGAAAGAGAGAGAGAGAGAGAGAGAGAGAGAGAGAGAGAGAGAGAGAGAGAGAGAGAGAGAGAGAGAGAGAGAGAGAGAGAGAGAGGAGGGGAGTGAAGGAGCGGGAGATAGAGAGATGGAGAGAGGGAGAGAGAGATTGGGGGAGAGGAGATGAGAGAGAGAGGGGGGGGAGGAAGGAAGGGAGGGAGGGAGAAAGAGAGGGAGGGAGGGTGGGAAAAAGAGAAAGAGAGAGAGGGGGGGGAAGGGTGCAGAGAAAGAGACAGAGTGAGTGAGAAGTGGTAAGGAAGAGAAAGCGAGGAAGGGACGAGAATGGGATAAAGTAATACAGAAAGAAAGAGAGGGAGAGAGGGTAAAAAGCCTAAGACTTAGAGTGAGAGGAATAGACAAAAGAAAAAGATAAAGTAGAAAGCACGAAATAAAATACAAATACACGGGGTAGACGGCTAGACAGAAACACACAAAAACAGCATGAAATACAAGGAAAAATCAGGGAAAAAAAAAGAAACAGCTTGAAACAAGTCGCAAACATGTTCCAGAAACGAGCGAAAAGAAATAACAGCAGAAGAGGACAAGAGGAAAGAAAAATGTAAAAGAGAAATATCAGAAATAAATAAAGGGGTACAAAGAAAATCAGAAAACGAGCAAAAGGGAATAACAGCAGAAGAGGATGAGATGAAAGAAAAAATATAAGAGAGAGAGATCCAAAATAAATAAAAAGACGCATAGGAAATCAGAGAGAGACAGAGAAAGAGAGAGAGAGACAGAAAAAGAGAGAGATGAGAAAGAGAGAGAGTGAGAGAGAGAGAGTGAGAGAGAGAGAGAGAGAGAGAGAGAGAGAGAGAGAGAGAGAGAGAGAGAGAGAGAGAGAGAGAGAGAAAATCTTCGAAAAAGCAATCAGGGAAAGAAGTGTTGCCAGCGACCAGTCCTTCAATATCTGTAGCTCCGGCATCAAAAGATATTTGAAACTTTCTGTAGATCATAAACTTCGCAATTTTGCATAACAGCCTTTGCAAACTAATAACGATACAAACTTTTGCAATTGTAATTTCTTTCACCTTAAAAGCATGCATATATCTAAAGATGAAGAGGATTTTTTTTATATGACACAATATTACCAGTTTCTGTGGGAATGTACCTGTTGGAGGGAAAGAGAGAGAGAGAGAGAGAGAGAGAGAGAGAGAGAGAGAGAGAGAGAGAGAGAGAGAGAGAGAGAGAGAGAGAGAGAGCGAGAGAGAGAGAGAGAGAGAGAGAGAGAGAGAGAGAGAGAGAGAGAGAGAGAGAGAGAGAGAGAGAGAGAGAGAGAAATCTAGTGTGTACAGATATAGATATGACTTCATCAAATACATTCATCAGTTCTAAGCAAATTAACAGAAGTTTAGATACATGGAAAATACCTCAAGAAATACACAAATGATGCATAACAAATGCACCGCTATTAACTCTTCACATTCTAATTTCCCGCCAAGTGAGCTTCAAAACACAGAGCCCACCCTTGTGTTCAGCAGAAAAAAATAATATGTTCATCGTTATTAGCGGTCAATGAACATTTTGAAAATGTCAACAACCTTTCCAC